TGCATATTATGTTTAATTGTGGTACCATGAAGTACTGTGTAAGTGTTATACATGTCAAGAAATATATTTTTGTAAGTATTGTGAATAAAGAAACGTTGGGAGTACCGATCGGGTCATAAACCCCCACCCCCACCCCCATCCCCACCCCGTCCCTCTCTTCCTCCCTCCAAGATTACAAAAGTCCTGGAAAATTGACATTTTTTTCAGAATATCGATGAAATCTGGTCAACTTTTACAGGAAACCATGTTTAAGAAAGCTCTTAGACATAAAAGGGAACGAAATTCGATTAGTCTGAAAATCAGAGCTCATTTATGGACTCTGTGGATCACCCCAGCTGGCGTCCTTCCTCCCCCACAAAGGGGGCAGCGTTCTGGGCCCGCCCTTGATGCCTAGCCTGGCCTTCATGCCTGCCACGCACAAAGCCGGCCGGATTATCTCTTGATAAACCTGACTGGATGGTGGGGAACAGGATTAGCTGGCACATTTTGTCTTCGGTTTACACCTACCCTTTTTGCCGCCTTTGGTTGCGAATTGAAGCTTATTGGGGTCACCGAAAAATGAGTCGTATAGGTAGGCAGCTGTGGCACACTCCTGATTAATTTGGTATAGTACTTCTACGTAGGAATTACTCTTTACAGCTGTAATCACGGGTGTCGATGCGTACCCTTGTGGGTTGGCCACTGCCTCCGGGTCCTCCCCAACCCCCTCCCAAGTTTGATTTGTCTCCAACAGTGAGATTGCCACCTCCCCCAACCTTCTGGAGCCAAAGTGTGTCCTAACTATGTAATAATAATTGTAAAACATTAAAAGGCCATTAGGCCATTTGGCCTTGGTCAAAGGCCAAGGCCAAACATTAAGGCCTCTAAATTACATTAAATCAAAACGTTTCTAGCAACATGATTGTTTCAAATGAAAGGGACACGAAGAAAGTGGAAACTGCGATGTGATGTTCAGTTGAGAGGAGCTGGCGGAGCGCGTCCATTTCGGAGCCGGTGCTCGCAGTAGTTCACGGGAGCATTTGCTGTTTTTGCTACATTGTGCTTTTTTAACTGCGCAATTCATGCGGCTTGTCAACTTGGGTCTAGTTTTGTTTTATTGCTTGAGTGTTTTGACATTGTTCAGCGACGTTTTAGCGTTGTAACGAAGCTGCGTTCGCTGCAGTGATTTTGTCACGCTGTGTTATCGGATGATTAAGCAAACCGATCGAATATTATAACCAAAAAACGTGACGGATTTGCCAGCATTCGGAAGAACCCTTGTGAATGCGCCAACCTCCACTTCGATGTGGATGCTCATTGGAACAGTTACGAAAACCTGACGATCGACACCACGTGACGACCTGATAGCGGTATTCGTCCGAGACTTATCGGCAAAACAACACTGGGCATTTCGAACACATGTATCGCGAATGCTGCCTTGCAGCCTGAAGCCTGCAATGCGGCTACCTTCCGGGGTTTCCATGGCATCCTTTGTAAGTCGCGCACATCAAGAATGTACCTGCAGCGCACCAAGAATTTCCGATTCCACGCGACATCGCGTAGAATCTTTTGTGGGCGTGTTCGCAGCGCGACACGTTTTCTGTTGATATTTCGTTTACTTGTCGTGGCAATTTTCGTTTCGTGGCAATACCTGCGCATACAAATACACGAGATGTTCGTTTGCATGTACTATGAGTGCTTCAAACCCTGGAGACTGCAAAGTACGCTGTTTGTAACAGAAAGAATACCTTTAATCACTCGTGGTCGGTGTTTGGCATGCGAATAAACACTTATTGAATATTTGTGGCATTTCTGTCGTACTTCAATCGAGTCTGTGAAAAAAATATGGGCGTCCGGCAGAGATTGTACATGGCGCCGCGCAGAATCTTTGACATCTGGCTCGCTACGAATACACGCTTACACTCTTTATTCCCGAGGCCACACGTTCAGCAACGTATAAAGCTGCATAACGTCTGCCCTTCGCCGATTACCGAAAAGTGGTTTCGACCATCGAGGCTCACTAGCGTGATAATGACGCCCGACAGCATCTCCCGCCGTAAAGAGCGAGGGAGCGCATGGGAGCGGGAGTGTACTTCCCTTTTTGGCTGGAGAAGACTCTAACTCTGCTTACATAAGCAAATATGTGGTTGTTAGGAGCAAAAATGTTCCAAAGTTGGAAAGCTCCAAGATAGCGGAAGAAAATTGTTTTCAGGACGATTATACCAGAAAGCTCAGTCGATATCAAGCGGCGTGTGCTCTCGGGCGGGCCTTTTAACTCACTTTTTGAAAGCTTTAGAAGATTAATACATATTTTCTCACAATGACGGGTTCGTTTAATAGGCAGGCTGTGGTTCCAGATATGGCCGCTTAGCCGTCCTGGCAAAGGCGGCCAAGCTGCTACATGTGCGCATTCACCTGGCGCTCCAGGCCGTAGGCCGCCTCGCGTCTCATCGAGCGGCGCCTCTTCACGCGTCCTCGTAGTGCCCTCGTAATTCCCGGACGTTGCGGACGGGCGGCGTTCGAGCCGAAGTGAGCGAGTTTCGGTAGTTGCGTTCACACACAAGGGGCAGCAAGATGCAGTTTTCCGCTGTACAACGAGTAATCGCATTGGTTTAGTCCTCCAAATGCCAGTAAAGGATGCCGGCAAGAGCGTCACACTTGTCATCGGATGAAACCGGGGAAAACTTACGTGGGCGTGTTCAGGTGTCAATCTGGTGACATCGTGAATCTCATACATAAACAGGGATTTAAGCTCCTTAACTTTGATATATTCTGGCCAGTTCGTTCTTGTGAATGCATATATAAGGTAAGTAACAAATTACCTAGTCGCATATCGGTATATTGTTTGCATATTTTACATCTCAGTAGGCAAGAGAGAAAGGTGCAATTGCACCCTTTCTGTCTCACAAGAGTGTTATGCTTATAAAAAGCTGATGCAAACTGCCATGCTTCCACATGTGATTGCTGTGCATTATCGCACATGTTTAAAAACGTGTAATAAATGTTATAAATTTTTGTTTTTCGCACCTTCCCCTTTGGCAACTTTCATGACTTTGGCCTCCCTCTAGTCATGTTGAGAAATCGACATCCATAGCTATAACAGTTCTGCAAAGTGTGTCATCACTAAGGATTCGGAGAGTAGTGGTGTCATTCTGGTGTCATTTTAGTCCCCAGCGTTGTGACTGAAGGCAGCCAAGAAAGTAGCAGTATAACATGTGTCTTGGATTTCTAGGAGTTAAAAAGCTACAATGAAAAGCGTGCTGTTGTTCTTGGTTGTAAAATAGCATTTGAAAGCTTCTTTGGCAGGGACAACCCTTTCCACTGTGTTTTCTCCGTCGTGCAAAGAAAACAGTGCGAATAAATTGTGAACGAAGGCTCTGAATACGCGGAAAATTTCTCAGTCCACATTTTTATATCACTGATCTAAATAATCACTTGACTTTCGCTCTAGATTCTGAACGGGATGGTGTGATGCACATGTAAACTGGTAGTCCTTCATAATTAGTGTGCGTACGTGATTAACTTTTTTGTCCCACCTTACTCGTCTTCCCATCCCATCGTTAGTCCCATTGTGAGTCCCAGCATTTTTTTTTATAGAGGAAATGTGCATTTTGTTAACGAGTCGGTCACCGATGGCGCCGATGCAGTAATCATGTAGTTCCGATGTAGTAATCATTGGGGCGAATCTGAGACCCCAATTATTTAACATGAATCACAAAAGTAACTTATAGCTCGTTACCACCAGGCGTGGATCAGTGTCGGTTGTATATATGCTTCAAATTGTCCACTCAAGCTTTTGCCGGCGTTGAATAAAGCAAAACTTATGTCACTTCAGTGCGTCAAATCACCAGCTTTATGTGACTGTGGCGCACCGCATAATTTCTGTCGCATTTTTGCAATGCGCACGAAATGGTGATCGAAAACATCGTTGTAGCACTAATTCTAACTGTAATTCGCCCTTATTGTCAGGGGGACTCATCAGCACCCTGATATAACGCTTTAAAAATGGGCCGCGTTGGCGTAGGATAACCGGATTGTGGTCAAGTGGTAAGAAATTAGTTTCGAGATCTGATCACACTTTCCGGAATTGTCAACTCCATTCACCTATTTTCGGCTACGTGGTGCCGCGCAGAAGCGTGATGGCTTGTCCCACCGCAAAAGGAGTGTTTGTGGACCGGAGTTATGGCGTCATTGCGGCATGACAAAGCAATGGCCATTATGGTATTATCATTAACATTACGGTCAGTCACGTCATTGTGACAAAAGACCTGAACCGCACCTCGGCCTGGCTTAGTGTTATGAGAAAGCGAGAAATGCATGTTTGTTCTGAAATTCTAAGAGAAGTGTTTGCCTAAGTATTTTGAATGTGTATCTTTCTAGTGAACCCCTTCATGATGTCGACTCGGGCTCAAGAATAGACACCATTTGGTTGACTAAGTGTACAGTCTCATACCAAACAATCCAATACATGGCCTGAGTGATATTACCTTAAGCGGTCTTCTACGAAACTCTTAATGTGTTCAGTCGCTGGGTTTCACCGTTTAGCTATTTTTTCGAGGAAAACAAAAGCAATGGCTCAAAAGAATGAAGTGCCTAGTGTTAAATTGTTGTACAGGCCCAAGTTTTCTTGAGCGGAGTGTTTTAGTCGAGAGTCACACCGTGGGCTCCACAAAGAATATAGTTTTATTCCTGTCTTCAGGTACTTATTTTAGTCGAAAAATAGGGGCAGAGAGGTGTAGAGAGGCATACGCATTGCACATTTAAACAGGGCTTGCCCCGCCCACGTTTTCTGACGTTTGCACTTCCCTGCAAGGGCCGAGGGCTCACTATTGACCTCCGACTTGTGCTGGCAATCCTAGCTCCTAGCGTGTATCATTCACGTGATAGCCTAATTGTTAGGCGTCTTAACCGTGGAAGGTGAAGCTAGACAACAGGCATTCGTGTACATGGTTCAAGCTAGCAATTTTCGTGGCGCGTTTGGGACGAGTGACAATCTCTGCTAATGTTTTGAAGACATTGATATGGATGGTGTGCACGGATAGACAGATCTAGTTTCCCGGAAGGATGGACAGAGGGCAGATGAAGGGAGACGGATGTCTTTGTGAACTCTTGCGATCCTTATTTTGCGGTGAGAACACAAGTTTTTCGTAACGCTTTCGTATTCGCGTAGCGAACGTTTCCGGGATTGTTCCTTTCCAAACGCTCCCATTATCGTTTGGAATTGAGCTAGAATGTTGCCGTACCGTAAAGTAACAGTGAATATGCCGCAAAATTTAATGCTCGGCTCGGAAATGCTCTCTCGGTCAAATGCATGATTGCCTGCGCTCTGGGAACGTCTGTAAACAATCGGTGGCGTTGTGTCGGAAACGATGGCCGTTTGCTGGGGTGTGTTGCGCGTGCGATGGTGGTGTGACGCCTCTCCGTCCTGTTCCAGAGGCGCGCGCCCACGGCGCCGGCTACTTCGCCTTCTCGCAGGACGCGGCGGAGCGGGCGCGCCAGCAGGCCCAGCTGGACGAGCTGCGCCAGCAGACCGAGGCGCAGAAAAGCACGGCCGACCAAGCCAAGAAGCGCAAAAACAAGCAGCTCAAGGACAGGCTCCGCAAGGTGCGCGAGAGGAAGCGCCTGAAACTCGGCCTGCCCATTGAAGGTAGCGTGCTTGTGGGCTTTCGCCACACCGACAGGATGGGGAAGAAAATATTTATATCAGGTCATCCCCACGTCAAGTACAGTTGTGTTCGACAAAAAGAGATCATGCAATATGCCTTGCGTGCTAGGGTTATCTGGTGCGACGCCACGACGCTGTTCGCAGATTACCCCAGTCCCACGTGTGTCCGTGACAGGGCGCAGCGCTCTCCATTGCTATGGTAACGGCCTGGTGCAAAACCCCTATGATCATGCGTGGCTCCAACAGCTGACGAGACGTACAAATCATCTCACGGGCGGGCTTCTAATGTGCTTTTTTCCACTGTCGTAAGTGTGACATTTTGGCCGAAGTACCGTTGCATTAACATCTTTGACAGCGTAGGAGCTTTAGACGCACAGTGGAGTTGGGCTAGACCCTGTTGCTGAGCATGGTTTGCCTGCACGGCTCCGTGGCGCGATTTTCCAAACACGCAGAAGAATGTGTGTAGATTAAGAATATACCAAAATAATATACTAAAAATTAATAATAATACAACTTAATAAAATATATAATAATGAGCTTGTTTATCAATTTTCCAAACACGAAAAAACACCCTTTGAAAACACTAATGGTTGAAGAACATTCTGGGGATTTGTCTCGCGAGCATTTGCTGATGTAACGTTTGCAACAGCAAAAAAGAATGTAATGTTTGTAGCAACAGCAAAACGTACGCAGCTTGTCTGCTCTGCAGGCCCACGCAGGCTGCGTCCCTGCAATACCTCCGCTGGGGGTACCTGTTACGTACAACCTGGTCACGTTGAGCTAGGCATAGGCCGGGTCGGGCTGAGTCCCGTCAGGGCAGTGGTCAGTCGACGCAGACCAGCCGCTTCCGGGGAGGGGGGGGGGGGGGTCGGGGCAGTTTAGTGTGTAAATTGCGGGTTGCATAATGCATAGCCTGCGCGGCGATGCATTTTTACAATCAGAGGCCACCAATCAGTTTTGTGCAGGTAAAACAACAAGCAGCCTGAGACGCATGCTGCCTCCATGGACGTATCCATGCCTCACAGGGGCATAAATTTGATTTGAAGAATTCCAGCACACAACAAAATGCAAAGGCATGAAGAAAAAGGGATACGCAGAAAAAAAGAAAATAGAATGCTTCAAAACTTTGCTTTATTTCTACTCGCCCGATTCGCTTATTTCTCTTGACTTTGGGAGCATCTTCACCGATACTTGGTGTGATTCATAGGTAATTCCACTGCCTTAATCATGTAGAGACCTTGTTGACCAAGCCCTTTATTCACTAAACTATGCTCCGCAAGGCATGTTTCCTAATTGATGTGCCATGAATTCCTTTGGCTATAACATTTAAGTAGCAATTCCCAAGTGGCATATTACCGCCGGATCCTTCGCCAGCGGAAATGCAAGCTATTGATTGAATAGGGTAGCAGACGGTGAGTTAATACTCGTAGGGTTATACTACGGTCAGGAGCATCACTTTATATACTTTCGGGGCCTGAGCTCCCCCAATGCAGGCTAGCCCTATGGGCTAAAAGGAGCCCCCATAGCCATTTTTGCCCATAGCCCGGGGTCTTTGGACAAAAAGAAGTGCTGGACTAGAGGAAATTCAGAACATTATTCCGTCACTAGGTGCCTGAAGATATTACTATCATTTTTATGTTCATTTTGTACCAAATAGTATCCTGTGTTTACCTTATATGTTTTTGTCATTCCGGCTCCTTCATATGCTATGCTAGTCTGTGAATCTTAAGTTTTTTTACGACATAATGCCTGGAGCGAGCGGCAAAAATGGGTTGTAATATGCGGCAGCTTCTAAGTATAAGGTGGCTGGTTTTAAGGCATAATGTTTCGTAATGATCGGCAAGTGCTTACCGCGAGCGTAACACTTCAAGAACATTACACGAATATCGCGAGCATTCCAGTCATTCAGGTTTTCACGTCTTTCTCCCAACACACTAAGCTATGTGCTAAGGGCTGCCTGAAACATAGGCGGCTTAAACGAAAGGGGTCGGGGATACGTACCAAGCAAAAGCATATTAAGAAATTGATTGTCTTAATTTTGCTGTTGCATTTCCGTCAATTCCGGTCAACTCATTTGCGACTTTCGGCGGGAGATTTCGAAACCTGGACGTAACAGACCATAGGTGTTGGCCTATGGTATAACAAACCAGCCTGACTCGGCTATTTTTGATGTACACTGACCTGACACTGACTACTTACCCCTCGACACGTGTCCGGGTTGCCGGTGGATACCCTTCGCTGGGCTGGGGATCAGTTCAGACCCCCTGAGATCTCAGAAACTAAGAGCTAGAGACACAAAATTCAAAGGATGTGTGGGCCTGTACGTGAACTCACTTGGGTCAAACCGTGGTTCCCAGGTCATGACCTTCGGGTCAAAAAGGTCAGACAAGGCCAAACTCCAGGTTGGTGCCCAAAGCGCCCCCAGAACTTAGACACGTGTTCTAAGCAAAAGGTTGCATGCTCATGTAGGGGCAGTAACCTTGTTTGACCGCTTGACGGCTATAGTGACCAAAATCATACAAGTCTGTTCTTAGTCTTGCACCTGAATAAGCGACAAAGATGGCTCTAGGCAGTATGTTGTGAAACAAATTGTTGACGTGGGTCATTTTAGGTAAGTAAGCTATTCTGGCCTCAAAGAAGTTCATGAAAAGTGTATAATGTGGTTCCTGTTAGCAGAAGCTTTGAAGTGAGCACCAGAAATTACTCCGTACAGCAAGCCCTAGAGTAATAAAACAGGTTGGTTTTGACCCTGGTCTGACATTCATACCTAATCTTAGGTCACTGGAATCTGTTTATTCCATTGTGGTGTTGCCTAATAAAAAGTATCTTAGAGACGCATAGCTTCGTCTATCACTCCGTTGTCGCATCAGATTGAACGACTCCCTAGAAATTGACTTCGCCGAATCCATGCCTTGATGTTGACATGCCGTAGGTCAGTGACCTTACAAGGTACGTATGAATTTTTGATACCAAACGATTCGCTATTCAATTGCATACAGCTATGCAAAATTGGGCGCGGCTACCCCGCGCTGTTCGGAAATCACTCCGGAAATACCCTCGGGAGGTGGGGGGCGGCAAATTGACCCCCCCCCCTCCCCCCCCCCACACACACACACACACCTCAGCGTGTTAACGACTCCGCAGCAGGCATGCTTACTCCTCGTAGTGCAAGGATCGTCTTCGTTTTATGGCAACGTTTCATTATTGATGAAACAAGATGATTGACCATATTGTCAGTTGCGCCAGCCAACCACTCGCCTATGCATGGTTCTTTCCCCACCCTCCCTGTTGAATCATCCGTCTTTGCACAGGCGCGCTGGGCTAGTTGTAAGTCACGTTTGAACGGTCCAGGGTTCATTGCACCCGTTGCGCTTATTGTCCACCCACGTTTGAACGGTCCAGAGTCCATGGCATCCGCCGGGCTACTTGTCAAGCCACGTTTGAATAGTCCAGAGTCCATGGTATCCGCCGGCAGGCTGTCGCACGCTTTCGCGCGAAGCGCGTGCAGACACCTCTGTCGTTGGCTTGAGCGCAGCGCGGGTGCAACAAAGGAAATTGACTACCAGGGTAAGCAGGCAACCGTTATCAAGTGCAATCCACGCGTGTTAGTTTTTTGTGACTTGGGCATGTCAGGGGCGCGTTGGATGTCGTTTTTCCAGGGGGGGGGGGGCGCTGGCGGCTGACGGAGTGTCCCCTTTTCCAGATGCGCTGGAAAGGGAACAGTCAGCAGATGAAGACGAAACGCCAGCTCCGGTGGCTGCTCCCGCCTGTACCGACGCAAGAGGAGCTGGACAAGAAGGCGGAGCAAGACAGACGGGAGGAGGAAAGGCAGAAGTTTATCCGAGAATGGGATCTTGGAAAGGAGGGCGTCTCCAAAAGGCCACGTGAGTGGCTCCCGTGTACATGTCTTGCCATCGGCCTTCAAAGTGGATGTCATTTTGTTGTCCCTGCGAGTTTACTGGCTCTTAAGTACCCTTCCAGTTTACCAGTCTGGGGTACCCAGTCGCAGGGATTGCTGACACTCATTCACCACTTTTTCGTAGGTGCCGGACAGGCATACCAGTGCTATATCGTCTCAAAATGACGCGTTTGGAACGCTGCGTGTGTGCGTGAACCCCAGATTTGTGCTACTTCGACCGGGTCATGCGTTTCTAACGTTTAATTGCGTATTTGAGTCATCACAGGCAAGCTAGATGATAAGATGATGATCAACAGATTACTTAAGTATTTTGTAGCATGTGTTTCCGACCACCGCAGTACGAATTGTGAAATACTCTGCGCACAGGCAGGGACACTCTTGGTAGATCAGAAGCGTCGCAGGTGCCTATGGTCTTGTAGTGTGGTATTGCCTATGACGTGGTGTCCGCCGTGTGCCGCAGTGCTGACCCAGGAACAGTGGGTGGAGCAGCAGCGGCAGGATCGGAGGCCAGAGTTCGCCCCGCCGACTCAGTACGAGCCGGGCAGGCGGGGCCGCGGCCGCCAGGGCCCCACCGCCGCCGCCGCCACCGCCACATCGGCGGCGATCCCAGAGCTGCCGCGGCGGCTGGAGGATGGCGGCTGCAGGACGGTGTCTGCGGACGCTATAGAACCGACCGGCGCAGGCTCCACCTCTGGCGGCGGCCCACCAATGCAGGTCACAAGCGACCCGCCAACGCAGGTCACAACCGGACCACCGACACATGTCACCAGCGGACCGCCACATGTTACCAGCGGTCCACCAACGCAGGTCACAACCGGACCGCCGCCACATGTCACCAGCGGCCCGCCGCCACATGTCACCAGCGGACCACCGCCACATATTGCCAGCGGCCCGCCGCCACATGTCGTCAGCGGCCCGCCGCCACATGTCGTCAGCGGTCCGCCGCCACATGTCGTCAGCGGTCCGCTGCCACATGTCGTCAGCGGCCCGCCGCCACATGTCGTCAGCGGTCCGCCGCCACATGTCGTCAGCGGCCCGCCGCCACATGTCGTCAGCGGTCCGCCGCCACATGTCGTCAGCGGCCCGCCGCCACATGTCGTCAGCGGCCCGCCGCCACATGTCAGCGGCCCGCCGCCACATGTCGTCAGCGGTCCGCCGCCACATGTCATCAGCGGACCACCGCAGCACGTCGGCCCGGCACAGATCGGCTCGGCAGGACCGCCGGACGCATCTCTGTTTCAAACAAGTGGAGTGCTATCCCCAACAGACGTACTGCAGTATTCGAACAACGTAGTGCATTTCCCGCCCAATATGCGCTTTCCGCCCAATACGGCGCAGCGTCCGCTGAACCCAGCACAGCTGCCACCGACTGAGACGCGATCTCCATCCCATTCAACGCTGTTTCCGCCCAATCCATCGCCGTTACCGCACAACGTTACGAAGTACCTGTCTTATACTGGGCAGTTACCGGCCCACGTGGCGCGTCACGCGTCCACAACGGTGCAGTCCGCAGCCAGCACGGGTCAGCACCACACAGCCTGCCGGCCAGCCCAAGACCACCAGCCGGTTCCCGGCAGAGACGGTGCGTTTCTCGCCCAGCAGCGGGTCGTATCAGACGAGCAGCGCTCCGGTGGCGGCGGCGGCGCCGGCGCCCGCCGCCAGTCTGTTCCCGGAGTACGCCGGCCCCTCGGCTGGAGGCCGTCCGGCGTCCGGCGCCGGTCCGAGCCGGCGCGCCCCCAGCTACCGAGCCCGCCAGGCAGGCCGCTGCCGACCTGACCGACCCGGACTGCGTGCCGCCGGAGGGCGGGCGCGGCGCCGGCGCCGAGGTGGCGCCACCTGCCACGGCCGAGTACTTCGGCGGTGGTGGCCGCGGGCGGCGCGGCCGGCCCCCCGCGCCTGCCGACATCGGCGACGCGATAGAGGCCGGTCTGGCGCTGCTCAGCGACGACACTGAGAAGAAACACAGCAAAACGTTCGACCTGTAGGTGTGGCAGGTCCGGTGGGTTTTGTGCTGCTGGAGCTCGGCGTGGACTGAACGCTAACTCAAGGTGCCTGCCGTTGTTTTCTGTAAATACAGTACCGTTATGTTTCCTGCATTGGTACTGGTCTGGGTAGAAAAGAGTAGCCGCAAACTCGGTTATGGTTAATTGTCATATTTATTGAACATGTACATGCAACGAAAACAATAATTAAACGTCATCCCATCTTTCGACTAGGTCCGAACACTTCTAAAAGCAGCGAGCCGCTGGCATGCCTTGGAATGTGACCGCCACTCCAGTAACTAGACTTGCTGCTGGGGAGCCGTGCACAGCAAGCGTGCTAGTCCACTGCTGCTGGGGAGCTGTGCACAGCAAGCATGCTAGTCCACTGCCGAAATGGTCCAAGGCGCTTCGGTCCCGGAAAGGCCACTGTCAACTCCAGACATCAGCGTCGAACTGCCTCGACGCTGCACCCGATCCAAGTCTCCTTGGGGCTGCGGATGACGTGGGTCACCGCGGAGGGCCCACAGCGCCCAATCAGATGGCCAGCCCGAACACGGAGACGATGCAGTACATGGTCTTGTTCTCCCAGCGGACGGTGCAGCTGCCGTCGGTGCTGTTGTCCCAGTAGCAGGAGCTGGCCGTGTGTAGGCCAGCGCCTGTCTTCTGCATGATGACACTGGTCACTGGAGACATCACTCGAGGTCATCACAAAGATCAATGCAAGAGATGCTACAAATCCGGTCATTAGGATATTATGAGAGGTCAGCGAACAGACCTATCAGTGCCCACAGAAGGATTTGTGATGGTCTCTTCTAGTGTCACAAGACATGGCCACAGACTGTAACAGAGAGTGACCCAACAGTCAAATGGTATGCCATCATGGGCCAGGACAAGCATTGCAGTACAGTGTGTCACGCAGCTGGACGTTGTACCCACAATGGACTAATGACTTTACGCTTAGAGTGTAATTGCAAATACCAGAGCAACAGTGCATAATCAAGTGTGGTTTAAACATCTCCAAGCTTACCAATATATTTGAAAGGTTTCTGCAGTTTAGTGAGGGCACCCAAGCATGATTCAACAACACTGGATGCCCACTGGTTGACTTTTGCCTGTTGGTAGGTGTTCCCACCAATGGTGCTTTCCACAGCCTCCTTGATTATATTGCTGACTTCATCCACCACAAACTGGGTCTGGAAATAGAAGCATGTAATATAAGTTTGTGGATCATGTTACCAATTCATTTGTTCCTTAAATGTTACACATAGGTTAGGATATGACCTAAAATCCAGATATTATCTCCATGGGGATCCAACTATGCAACATGTGAGCACATATTCTGTGCAAATATCTGATCAGTGGTCATGGGCATCACTAAGTTCAGTTGGAAATCAAACACATGCATGAAGAGGCATTTGCCAAACAAATGCAGATAAACATTGCTGTCCGTGCCTGCCCAGTGGTAATACAACAGAAATTGGGCTGACAGCAGCCCAGCTGAACATGCCATTCAGATGCAACAAATATGCACAGAAACAGACACCTAACATTCTATTCAGATGCAACAAATAAAGGCAGAGACAGACAAATGAGTGGTACAGCAGGCTGTTCCCTGCATCTCCAGCCAAATTGATACAGGTCCTGCATCATTTTTAAGTCAGGCTGGGTAAGCACTGGGGAGGCATTGTCAGCACGGGTTACCTACTTATATTCAGGAAACAATTTCACCTAAAGCTTTCATAATATTCAAAGGTAAAGATGCCCCATGCCACAGACATTGATCCACACTATGCCTGCAGGTACCTTCATTTATCTTTTTCATTTACCTGTAATACCTATATGTTAAGACCAGGTAGGACTGAATGGGACCAGGTCCTCATCTATCTAGTCCCACCTGGTGCTGTTCTGTTATCCAACATGGTTCCGGTAGCCAGCACAGGGGTGTAACAGGGCATTTAAGTTATGATGTGAGGCAGCCAATGGTTATGACTTTACAAAATTAAGTTGCATTCTTCAAAATTTCAGCACAGGCCACAACCCAAATGCAAAAAAAATTACACTCAACATGCCCAGAGCAGCCATAGAAATGTTGGCATCCATGCAACATAAATTCAAGCAATACGAGTTTGGTGCACAGTGGCCACCACTTTCAGTGCATGGGGCCAATGTTTTGGGAAATTATGGAAATGAGACATTTACCTGAAAACTTGTTTTCCAAAAAATAGTTATCACAAAATAATTTGGTAACTTCAGCACATTTTGGTTAGTCTGAAGTCCAGCAGACAAGCATGAGACAGCGCAGATGCCCATACACACCCTGCGCGGTAGGAACACTTCCCTGCAGACAATGCTGCAATCACATGAGTGTAATATCACACTACATAATGCCTTTCTCTCCCACTTTTGTTAAGCTACCTACATGTTCCATAAAACCCTTAGCCTCAATGCATGTGAAGCATTTCACAGACAACTCTATCCATGCGCACCACACAGGTTTCAGGCAGAATTTTGTCCCTAAAGAAGGGCTTGCACTGGTAAAAAAAATATTTTAACTCTGCACAGAACCCAGGACTTTTGTTTTCTGGGCCATCAAATGTATATCCCTGTGTCAAGCACTGCCCGCTGGTCACACAAACCTAACACACGACCACATTTGTTTTCCACTCACCTCCTCTGAGGTGTCTTCCATCTTCAGACTTCAGATGACTTGACGACTATTTCAGACTTGTCCACTACCGCTCGTTAGTTTAAGATTCGTTGTTTTCCGAAAGTGTTTGAGAACAAAATTACCCTAATACATCAGCAAAAATTGAATTCTCAAAAATTGAAATCAGCCACCAACGCCTCAAGGCCCTTAGAACAAAGCACTCCTGCAAGGCTGCTTGTCTCCTATACAGTCTTGGTTGCTTGCAAAGCAATAGGATATCGGGCAATAGTCTATTACGGCACCACCACACCCACAACACGCCCTTCCCTCCTGCTCTAGTGGTAACCAAGGTCGTGCGAGAGAGAGACCGCAGCAAGGCCGTGCAGAATAGATGGCTCCCTGCTGCGTGCGCCTCTGTGCAAGTCTGCATGTGACGTCATGGGAGCATTCCTTAAACGCCAGGACGGCTGCGTACGTGTTCAAGGACATCAGCGATCCCATGTAATATGAGATGTTAACCTAGTGGAGTAGATAGAATATCAAGGCAAACGTGATGAAATTAGTAGAATCAACAGTTAAACCATTTCTATAGGTTAGTCATTCGAGAATCATCCGCCGTGTTGTTTCCTTGAGACGGTCGGCATGAAGAAGCATTTATGAGTTCAAAAGCGCCAGATGGACTTAAAACTGCACCCCAATGTAGCCAGTTTAATATGCACATCATAACTGGGACCCTCTGGTGGACTTGTCCAACAGAATTCTTGAAACTTCCTAGGGGCGGATACAGAGGGTTGGCCACGGGACCATGCCCCCGCCCCTTGGGCGACGAAGGGGTCCATAGGCTCCGAAGGGGCCCATAGGGGACCGAACAGGTGCAGTTTTTTAACACAAAACTCAACAAGATTGGACGTCTTTGGATTTCCAGGCCACCAAGAACAGCTACAAGCGAAAGAGAAGTGCCAGCGAAAAGAGAGAAAGGATCTTCCATGATTGAAAAAGTTGTTAACTGGAAATTCTAAACCATATTACGGTGTCCAGGGTCCATATGCTGTTTCTGGGGGACCTATGTTCCCACTTGCAGGGTTACTTTGATTGTTAAGGAACATTCCTAGGTCCTGCCTTCACATTATGCGTTGGGTAAGTTTTATTTGAATGGGGATCCTACGCTCTTGCCAGGGGCCTATCTAATAACCTGCTCGGGCACATTCAATCGTTCGGGGGCCCTCTATATCGGGTTTTGGGTGCATCCTATTTGAATGGGGGCGGGGGGCCTACGCATTTGTCGGGCCCCGCTCTGTTCGCCTCGCCGTTCGGCCACACTGGATTGTTCGAGAACCCTGCACATCGGGTCTTGGTGTTTGAATTTAGGACCCCGCGCTCCTTCGGGATCACCTGATAATCTGCTCGGGTACAGTCCACCTTTTGGGGCCTTCTGCGCTGGGTTATGGGTACTTCCTATTTGAATGTAGAACCTTACGTTCTTGTCGTGGCCCCTTCTAATAAGCTGCTCCGGCATATTCGATTGTTGGGCGACCTCTATGTCGGGTCTTGAATATCCGTGAAGTTAGCAATTTATTCAGCGATTTATTCAGCGAGTAGTACTGATTTCTTTTTTTTTTAAAGATCTCAATTTCAATTGTGGCTTGAAGACACCAAAAATGACCCTTATTTTGCAATATGATTTCCCTTTCAACTTCAAAAGCTAGGTCAAAGGACGGAGAACTCCATATCACTAGAAAATTAACGGCCGATCTTCAACTTGCAGACGCCAGAATATTTGCAACCGAAAGAACTAGCTTCCTTCAAAAAGTCCTAACTTCTTGAGGTCACCCTTCAAGGTCAAACACGGGCTCAAATGACGGAGAAATCGAAATCACCAAAAGATAGCTGGCCGATTTTCAGCTTGCAAATGTCAGGATATTCACCACAGATAGAATTAGCGTTCGTGACAAATTCCTGACCTCTCAGGGTCATTATTCAAAGTCAAGCATGGCCTTAAACGACGGGGAACTTTATATCACCCCAAAATTACTGGTTGAATTAAGACTTGCAACTGTCAAAATATTCGCCATAGAAAGAACTAGCGCCCTTAAAAAAGTCATGACCTCTCAAGGTCATTATTTAAGGTCAAACGCGGACTCAAAGGGCGGGAACTCCTAATCACCCAAAAATTACCGGCTAATTTTAAACCTGCCACTGCCAGAATATTCACACTAAAAAGAACTAGTGTCCGTGAAAAAGTCCTGATCTCTCATGGTCATTTTCCCAATGTTCTTTTAAGGTCAAACTCGGGCTCAAAGGACGGGGAACTCCATATCACCCCAAAACTACCAACCGATTTAAACTTACAGACATCAAAATATTCGCCTTAAACATTGACCTTGAAGGAATACCAAAATATCAACCTTAAAGGGTGACCTTCAGGGTTCAAAACTTTTTGACGAACACTAGTTCTTTCTGTGGTGAGTATTCTGATGTTTGTCAGTTGAAAATCGGCCCTATCTGTCAACCTGCTCGGACACACTTGAACATTCGGGGCTCTCGACATTTGGTCTTGTTGACGGACTTCCTATTTGAATGGAGGTCCCTACGCTCTTGACGGGGGGGCCCTATATTATAACTTGCTCGGGAACTGGCCCTGCGCTCTTGTCGGGGGCTCCCATCTGTTACCTGCTCGGGCACACTCGATTATTCCAAGGCTCTCCATGCAGTGTTTTGGCTGCTTTTTATTTGAGTGGATAATCCTGTGTTCTTGGCGGGCCCCATCTGTTAAGCTGTTCGGGCCGGTGGCGGATGGAGGCGGAGAGGGGAAGGCACGGAATCATGCCCCCATGAACCATGTCGAGGGAACCTTTAATCCCCAAAGGGGCTCACAACTGGCCGAACGGAAGCAGTTTTCTAACAAAACATTGCACACGGCACAATTGCACGTCTTTGGGCCTACAGACGACCAAGAACGGTTGCTGGCAAGAGTAAAGAGTTCATAAGCAGATAAATTAAGTTTTTTGCTGAATGAGGAAGTGCTGCTTGGGGGAAATTTTGAGGGTCATTGCGCTGGCCAGAGACATTGCGCTGTTGCTCGCACCCTATGTGTCCACTTGCCGAGGCAGTCCAATCGCTAAGAGACTTTCCACGTTGCTCTTGATCTTTTCGCATTTTCTCTTAGGGCCCAATGCCGCTGTTAAGATGGTATCTACTTCCATGCCTGAGCACCCTCGATCGATCAAGTTTTCCTCCACGATCTTTCCAGGTCTGCCGAAAGGCTCTGTACGGTTTTTCCAGGACATCATATGCCCGAGTGCACTCAGTTGCTCAGGGCCCATCATATTAGTTCTGGGTTCTTTCCACTTGCTCGGAGGACCTTGTGCTGTTGCTGGAGCTTACATGTGATAAGACACCGAAACACTCGATGCTTAGGGGCCCTCCACTTTTATTTAGAGCTTTTTCACTTCGACCCCATTTTCGGAGGGCTCTTCACTCTTGTAAAGGCTGCTGCTATTAACCTGCCCGGGTGCTCTTGATCGCACAGGGGTATTAATTCATGGTCTTGCGTAATTTCCCTTTGCTCAGAGGGTCCTGTGCTTTGACTGAGGTCTTACATGTCAGCCTGCTGGGGCACTGCCGGTCGTTTAGGGGCACACCACGATGGTCCTGGGTTCTTTTTGCTTGCTCTAAGGACCCTATGCTTGTTGACAAGAGCCTGTTTGTTTGTGCCCTGAGGCGCCCATGGTCGCTCATGTTTCGTCCCTATTGGCATGGGTGCCTTAGCCTTAGATAAGCAGTCGGATATGCGCCGATGAATTTTTACGTGCGATCGTCGAACAGCACTATACGTGCCGCCGACGTCGCATGTGTCATTTCCCTTGGCTATTGGGCGTGACTTATTATACTTGTGCATCACGTTCTTACCATATTTTGAATGTTACGATAGCATGCATTCCCTTGAAACCAAGTAGAACTTCTGCATTAGTCATCAGCCATCAGCTAATTACCTCGCCCAGCCGGCTATCCGTAAATAGGCTAGAAATGAAGTTCGTTCTTGCCTTCGATGGCATTTGGCAGCCAGCTTGAGTTTATTTTGGCTGTTTTTCCGAAACAGTTAGCTTCAAAATCACAGGATATAACATGATCTATAGAAAATGAGTGAGCTCCATGCATGTGTATACGTAAGCACACCTAGCTTGATCGAGCTGCGTATAGTAAGATGGGTTCCGTTTTATTTAATATGTATGTATATGTTCCGTACAAATCTGTCTTCCCACGGTTCCTTTTTTTTGTGAAATGTCGGCTTTGCTGTCCCGTCTCTGAGCTTCTGTTTTATCTCCATTTCTCGGTCCGCTGCTGAGTTGCCCTTTAGATTTATCTTTTGTTAATTCACCGTCCCTGCGACCCCGGCCCTACGGCCGGCCCGGAAACTGCTCCACATGGGCCGTGTTCTTTGCGAGGCCGCGCCGCTCGCTAACCAGGCAGTTGTCTCGCGGGCGCCGCCAGGGAGAGGACGCGTATGCCCTCTTCCTGGCCCAATATTCGAACCTCAAAATATGGCATCAGCCGACGGATGCGTGTCGACGACGAGTGAAAGAGACTGACCGAGACCGAACGGTACCGAACGATACCGAACGATCGAACGATATCGAACAGTATATATATAAATATATATATATATATATATATATATATATATATATATATATATACCATGCTTGTTAACTATAAAAGGAATGACCGGAATGCAAGGATATTTTGAAGGGGCCCCAAACCCTAGGGGGCCCCATAGTGTTTCGTGCCCCTCTCCCCCTGACGAAATCCTGGATTCGCTCCTGAAACTTCCAGGTCTTAGTCAATATTTATAGCCGCCCTGGTCAGGCACACCACGCGAAAGGACAGCATGTTCAAATACCAATGAGGGCTAAGATTGTTTTACGAAACGAGCGTATGCGTGTCCCTGACTTGCCTGGCCTGTGCCTTTGGCCTGCTTGACCTGGCCCGTGTACGCGTGTCCCTGACTTGCCTGGTCGAAATCCATTCCACGGTCGGTCGGCAACAAAAGCGGAGGAAGCTAAGACGCTTCAGGCTGCTCAGCCGGGGCCCCTGCCCGTACCTGGCCAGGCAAATTAGCGCGGCTCCATCTGACCAGAGCAGCCAAGTCAATGCTCAACTGGGACCTAGTCATTTACGGGGCGTGGGTCCTGATTAGAACCGATTTCATGATGCAGAGGGCAAATAAGGTCCCGCTGGTCTGTCCTGCCTCTAATATTGTCAGCAAATATCGAGTCCTAAATATCGAGACTCGCCCGAGTCCCAAACAGAATGCACCCT